AATCCGTGAAGCCCTTGCAAATGTTTAGAGTGAATGTGCGCGGCCCTGACGCGAGAGCCACACTTTGAAAACCACCCGCCCTCAATCCGTGAAACTTTTGCAAATGTTTGAAACACATGTGTGCGGCGCTAAGGCGAGGGCCACATTTTGAAAACCACCTACCCTCAACTTGTGAAACGCCTGCAAATGTTTAAAACGAACGTGTGCGGCGATAAGGCGACAGCCACATGTTGAAAACCACCCGCCCTCAATCCGGGAAGCTCCCGCACATGTTGATAACGAATGCGTGCGGCGCTAAGGCGAAAGCCACATGTTGAAAAAAAACAGCCCTCCATCTGTAAAACTGATGCCAATGTTGAAGCTTCAGGGTCATAGGCATGAGGCAGTCTCAGGCGAAACGCCGGGTCCGCCCTTTTGACCGGCATCGGGATGCGACAGGGAGAAATAATGTGTAAGGAAAAGAAATGGAGGAGGAAATGGGGAGGTACGTAAGGACATGAGGGGATAAGGGGGTACGTCAGGATAGGTGGGGGTGTGGCGGAGGAACCGCCCTGTACTTGGCTGGATGGGTGGGGTGAGTGGGTGATTGGGTGAGGGTGGGTGGTGATGTTAGTGGGTGAGGGTGGGGGTATGGAGGAGGAGCGGTAGAAGGAGAGAGAGAGAGAGAGAGGGAGGAGGAGGAGGAAGAGGAGGAGGACGAGGAGGAAGAGGAGAAGGAGGAGAAGGCGCTCGCTGAGTAGTTCGTCTCCTACCCTTTCGGTGTTCTCCTTTGCATTTCGTTCATGGTCACTGTCGTGTTCCCCGTCCGTTTCGCAGGCGGCTTGCACAGTTACTCTAAGCCGATGCGGGCTCCTAAACTTTCACCATGTCTTCCAGCCCCTCTGCTGACCGCACATGCTCACAGTTGAATGGGTGGCCACTGTGCCTCAGTCTGCTTAGTCTCGACTTGCCGCTTCGTTCACCATCCTGACGCTGCGATCGCAGACGATCTACTTTGGCCGACGTAAGACAGGGATGAGGCAAAGGAAGAGGCGGAGAAAAAAGAGGAGGAGGAGGAGGAGGAGGAGGAGGAGGAGGGAGGAGGAAGGCGAGGAGGGGGAGGAGAAGGAGGAAGGAGGTGGAAGAGGGAGAGAAGGAGGAGTGAGCAGGAGGGAGGACGAGAAGCAGAAGTGAGGAGGAGGGGGAGGAAAAGGAGAGAGGAGGAGGAGGAGGAGGAGAAGCAGGAGGAGGAGGAGGAGGAGGAGAAGCATGAGGAGGAGGGGCTCTGGTGGGGTACCTCAAAGGTCTGCAGGAGGTTCAACTTGCCCAGCCTATCGTTGATGCTGCACTGGATTGGAGAGAAGGCAACATTGAAAACAAAAAACAGCGAGAGGCATTCCAGGTCGAGTACCTCCCGATGGCTGCACAATTTGTTTGGCCCCTTTGACCTGGAACCATGTGTTGTTAAGTGTGTCGACCGTACTAGCGAGCAGGTGCGGGTTGTCGATCAGGTCGAGGAGTGCAGGAGCCGCAATCAGACTGTCACAAAGCGGCTGCAATGCCAACGGGATCTCCATGGCGTCCAGTGCCTGCTCCAGTTGACCCGTGCTCTGAGCATGTCTTGATAGAAAGCCCTTCACGACATAATAAAAAAAGGCCAATTTGATGCCTGTTCAAAAACATGAGCATGGTGTGACCTCTCTGCTGCGCTGCAGCAGCGGCTGGCGTCACTATCAAAGAAGCTATGTCTGCACCTTTCATTGCCAACCCTCCCATGCTGGTTAATCAACATAGTAGACGCTTCTACGATACAAGTGCGGAGAAACTTCTGGTGCATCTTGGCTATATGCGTGCCAATCATGATGCCCCTGTAGTTAGTGATTGGGGCCGCGCTACCAGACTTGAAGAGATCCGCCTGCCAACCACCCTTGAAGCGAAGTGGCTCCCTGGAGCTCACGTTGATCTTCGTGTAGAGCAGCAGGAGCAGGTCAACACCATGTTCTGGGGCCACTCTCAATAGATCCATCGTTACATCATCTGGTCCTGGGGCCTTGCCGGTTTGGGGGCCTTTGATCATGCGTAGTAGCACGCGGCATGTCATGACCATGTCATCAGAACGCTCGCGCAGCATGTGCTCAGACCATTCAAATGTGTTGTAGCGCCCCATGAGATGCTCAACGGTAATGCTGTCACATTTTCACGTCCTGCAACATATACAATGAGTTCGTGTGCGAACTACTGGCGATCCATGGCTGTGTGACCGTCCACAGCTGAGCGAATTCCAATGCCTGCTGGTGCAGCTTTCTTCTGGTGCCCGCCAAAACGCATGAGTTTCCGAATGACCTGCCCTTCAGGAGGGCACCGAACAGCTCTGGGGCCCCCTGCACGTCGACGACCTCGTGTCCATAGTTGAATTTACCTGGGCCACGAATTCACAAGAAGTTGCTAGAAAGAGGTGGCCACACTAGTCCACGAAGAGGCCACGTCAAGGGGGGGTGCAATACATTACAAACGAGGAAAGTCCAAGCTCCCCCCGATGTTCTTCGAAAGAGGGTCGCGCAACGCCCGTCTTGAATTTGCACACAAGCACGAAAAAAGGGATCCAGATCGGACCCTATGGGGTCACGCTGGCACTCACAACTACATACAAATATCTTGGGAACTATCTGGAACAAGGAATGCCTACGGGACCCGAGGTTGCCCATCGTTGCCATCACGCCCAGAGGCCCCTCGGAATGCCAAGGCGGACCGTCTTCAACAACAACGCCCTAGATGAAAGCCACAAGTTGGCGTTCGAGCATAAGTTATGTACACCGCACCTCTTGCACGACGCGCATGCATGGGCTGCATTAACGAAGCTCCAACATCAAAACATCGAAGAACACTTCTTGGCACCATTCAGGTACGCAACTGTATTAAGATTTGATGGTCGAGCGGCTCAGAACGTGTCTGCGCACAAACTACTATTGCACATACGACAGCTACCACGTGAAGGAATGATTCGCACGAGGAGGCTTCGCCTGCTGCCACGTCTTTGAACGTCTGCTCCCCCTTGTTGGTTTCGTTCTCCTCGACAGTGTATGTAACGTACCAGGCACATGGGCACAACTACTGTTGCAAGATCTCGAATGGCTTGCTGCCAACGTGCCCCTCCCCAAGATTATGGGGCCACTTGGCCCGCCTCGCACGCTCGCGCGGGAGAAACGAGTGCGCTTTGGGAAACGTAGTTGCCGTCAAGCTGAGCGTAACCTCTTGTTTGCACCCAGCATTGATATGCAACGCAGCGCTTGGGCAGATGACCTCAGGCACGCGTGCACTGTGGCTGGCCAGCACCCAGCTTCTTCCGTCGCCCCTCTCCCCCCCGTCATGTTTTGGCCATGCCGTGAACGTAATGCAGTTCTCAAGACCAAGGCTTCTTGGTCAGTACACTTAACAAAAAGGCCACCCACAGTCAGAGCTTGCTGGCCAGTACACCACGGGTTCAGTTTGCCAATCATGTTGCTTGGAAGTCCACTGGAGACCCAGACTTCTTAGGCGCCACCGTCACGGAGCCTCGAATTGCCTTGCCAACATAGTTTCGGTGCCTGCTCCCGTGCCTCACACGCTCTTGCAAGAAGCGAAAGAGGAGGATGCCATCTTTACGCGCAGTATGCGTCAAGCAAGCTACTATAGTGAAAAGGCCACGCTGCCTCCGTTGCCACGGTCTGGACCTGGCTGGAAAAATGTGGCTCGCGTGCTTGGTCTCCCTGAGACCGTGCCGCAAGCTACGTGTCGGCCTGTCCCCTTTGCAGCGGAGGTTAATAGAGTCGATATACCTGCGACGCCATCCTTTATTCGCTCGTACGTTCTTTGTGTCACGTCTATGTCACGCTACGTGGGTGGCTGCCAGTGTTCATGCGACGAGCTTGCACACAGGGAATCCTTGGATATGTGTGTGCTCACTGTCCCGTTGCAGAGTTTGACACGGCATGCATGTAGATCGCACCTGCTTGAGCATATACACTCTAAAGGAATTGTTGCAGTTGTTGGTCTCTTTCGGTGTCGAACGTGGGAATATCGTTGGATGCCGAAGTGCAGTCCTAAACCCACGCGCTCACAGACGAGACCATGGGGCCTAGTTGGTCTGCCACCTCGGGCCGCCGACTCTGTACCGTGCTCCAACGTGCTTTGTCAGTTCATGTGGACAGCTGTAGCAGCGGCGAAGGCAGTGCAGACACCAGCCCTCGTGATTGCCAATTGTCAAGCAAGTCTGCCATGTTTCCCTTCCATGTGGGACATGCCAGAGGTTCAATGGATAATCGAGCATGCTCCCACACGTGATTTTTGTACTGCCAGATACAGACTTCCCAGATACTAAGTTGCGTGTTGCCTCTCTTGAGCTGCCATTCGAGTGCCTCGATGAGGTAGCAGCGTCGCACGAGTGTGACCTTGTTTCGACATGGTGTTGGCCTCAAGCGTTGACACGTCCTGTTGCGAAAGTTGTTTGCAGGGCCATATCTGGATCGGTTTAGAGAGAGGCGAATCCAAGACGTGTGTGCCCGAGGCTGGGGCACAATGCTACCATGCCTCCTTGGACCCAGATATGGTCCGTGCGGGGAGAGGGACTTGCTGGGCTAGGCCCCCGCGCCCCCTTGCCCCGTTTTGTTGCATGAGTTGTGCATCCGCAGACATCACGTCCGCAGAGGTGGCCGCAGGAGGAGGGAGGGGGGGGGTGGGAGGAGGAGGAGGGAGGAGGAGGAGGAGGAGGAGGAGGAGGAGGAGGAGGAGGAGGAGGAGGAGAAGGAGGTTGGAGGAGAGGGAGGAGGAGGAGGAGGAGGAGGGGAGGAGGGAGGAGGGGAGGAGGAGGTTGGAGGAGGAGGAGGAGGTTGGAGGAGAGGGAGGAGGAGGAGGAGGAGGAGGAGGAGGAGGAGGAGGAGGAGGAGGAGGAGGAGGAGGAGGAGGAGGAGGAGGAGGAGGAGGAGGGAGGAGGAGGGAGGAGGGGAGGGAGGCTGTGCCCCCGCCCCTGCGGCCCCGCCGCGCGCCTGCGGTCGGCGCCCGCGCCGCTGGCGGCGCCCGCCGCCGCGGGGCCGCCGGAGAACCGCTCCAGCAGCAGGCCCACGTGGCTGCGCCGGAGCCCGGGCCTCTCGCCGACTACCTACCAGCCCAGGACCCTCTCGAGTTATGAAAAAATCACGACGGGAGGTGTTTCACTGTTTTTGGCCTTTGGGGGCCCTTACCGGCCCTCGGGACCGTCAAGAAACGACTCAGGACGAAAAACCGGTCCCGGGGAATGGGTCGAGACCTCGGGGGGTCGCCGTCATGAAAAAATCATGACGTCGGGGGCCTGGGAGACCACACACCCGAAATGGGTACGGAAAGAATGGGCACTATGCCCAACAGCAAGTGTTGTCCCAAGCCAACAGCGGCCGCTGTTGGGCAGGCGGCCTTCTGTCTCGAGTGGACACAGGCCGCGGCGGCGCGGACAGCGGATCTTGTTCAAAGTGAACAAGATCCGCTGTTTGGCATAGTACCCATTCTTTCAGTACCCATTTCGGGCGTCCAGAGACTACCTACCAGACCACCCCAACCCAACCCGAAGACCCGAATCTGACCCGAATTTCGGGTGGGGGGGGGGGGTACGGATTCCATGTGTTTTGTCAATGTTCCCCGACCCCCCCCCCACTGGAAATCGAAGATAAATTTGGGCCTTCGGGTTGGGTTGGGGTGGTTTGGTGGGTGGTGACTCGCGGCGGGGGGGGGAAGCGGGGAGCCCAGACCCCCAAGGTCGTAGCCGATGGGGTCCACAACCCGGACAGCAGGGCGCCAGGAGGGCGTGCGGCTGCCAGAGAACTTTGGATGGGCCTGGAGAAAGCTTCCGAAGGACCTTCTGGGGAGCTTCTGGGCACGCGTGTTTTTGGAAACGCTTGGGGGGGGGGAGCGGGGCAGCCCAGACTCCCGACGTCGCGATTTTTTCATAGCGACGAGCCTCGGGGAAATCGGCCCATTCCCCTGGCCCGGTTTTGCGTCCTGAGTCGGTCCCTAGGGTCGGTGAGGGCCTCCAGAGGCCGAGAAGATGGACAACCCTCCCGCTCTGATTTCTCCATTGCCCGAGAGGGGGAGCGGGGAGGCGCGTATTCGGCGATGGGCCCCTTGTTGCCGACCAGTCCTGGACTGTCTTCAGGCGGTCTTCAGGCGGCCTTAGGCGGTCTTCGGCGGTCTTCCGCGGTTGTCGGCCCGCAGATGGACAACCAAGTGGAAGCCTTGGCTCCGCTCCCCCATTCCCTCCGGAGGAGGAGTAGGAGGAGGAAGAAGCGGAGGAGGAGGAGGGAGGAGGAGGAGGAGGAGGGAGGCCAGGAGAGGAGGAGGAGGAGGAGGACGAGGAGGAGGGAGGCCAGGAGAGGAGGAGGAGGAGGAGGAGGAGGAGGAGGAGGAGGAGGAGGAGGAGGAGGAGGAGGAGGAGGGAGGACGAGGAGAACCAGGAGGGTCTACTCAAAGTCGACCCTGGGCGCTCGGGAGCACGGGCTCGAAATGACAACAACGAAAAAAGTGGGAGCCCCAGGGCCCTCCAGAGACGGGCGCGAGCACGGGGTCGAGAACGAATGGGCTCCATTCTCTGTCCCCTGACTGGCGATGAGCCCCTTGTTGCCGACCAGTCCTGGACGGTCTGCGGCGGCCTTCTGCGGTCTTCTGACGGTCTTCGGCAGGTCGGGCTGCGAACCTATCACGGAGGCCCTCGGGTGGAGCTCCCTGCGGGGCCACGAAGCGTGTGAGGGTGTGACGACATAGGTCGGGCGGACACATACGACCTCGGAACCCCCTGGGTGGAGCTCCCTATGCTGTCACGAAACATGTGAAGGGTGTGCCGAACGGCATACGGAAGGCAGAGGCAGGTATGAGAGAAGGGAGGATGGCGAGGATGAGTGAGGAACGTGGGGCGGTGTCTCTTCAAATCGGGGACACAACACCACAGGATGGTTGGGAAAAGCATGACGTCGGGGGTCTGGGGGAGCAGCAGCAGCAGCAGCAGCAGCAGCAGCAGCAGCAGCAGCAGCAGAAGCAGCAGCAGCAGCAGCAGCAGCCGGGGGAGGCAGCGAAGGAGGAAGGGGGGGAAACTTAGGCTGTAAAGGGGGGCGTCCCATTGAGGATGCAAGGAAAAGGGGGGGCGTCCCCAGCAGCAGGAGGTTAAGGATCCTCCTCTTGCCCACATGGCTGCGCCTGAGGTCCCGCCTCCTGGGGGGTTCTGGAGGGGCAGGGAGCAGCGGAGGAGGATGAGAAACCGAACAATTGGCCTGGCGAGCCACCCAACCACATGCAGCTGCGTTGGCAGTGAGGGGGGGGTGAAACGAAAGGGGGGGCACGCAAGCTCCGAACAGCGCGCGGCGTGGCCTCTGCTATCAGAAGCAGCGCGCCGCAGGACGGACGAGGGAAGGCTTCTCGGAGGGAGGCTGCTTGTTGGAAGGCGGTGGCCTTACATCTACAGGCAGGGCCCGCGCCTTCCAAGAAACAGGGGGTTTCAAAGTAAGCAGCCTCTCCCCTTTCCCTGCCCCCCTCTACGTGTGGCTGAGCAGAATATGGAAGGTGCTGGCACGAATGTCACCTCGCCGACTCCCCCCGCTCCGTCTGGCCGTACACCTCGCCCCTCTCGCACCTCGCCGTCGCTCGGACGTCCATTCCCCGTACATGTTTCGATATCGTGCGTGCATGTTGCACAACATGATCCACGATGTCCCTCGCCCCCCAAAAATGCACACGCCCGAGCGATGCCCAGTCGCGTGAGGGAGGAGGGGGGCCCGACCTCGAAGCGTTCGGTGGCAAGTCATGGGAGCCTCCCATGCCATCTTGTCGGCTCTTGCGAGTCGACGCTTCTCGACACCAGATCGACGCTAATCTACGCTGAATCGACGCTAACCGACGCTAAATCTACATTACTTGGCGCTAAACGAGGCTAAATCGGCGCTATCTCAACGACTCCCAGACGCTAATCGACGCTAGTCGACGCTAAAGACAGAATCGCGAGGGTACACAAGGCTCTCATGATTTGCCTTGCCTTGCCTCGTCCCCCCCCCCTCTCCTGAGGGAAGCTCGGTGACGCAGTCGCGACGCTCGCCCGAAGCCGGGCGGAGATCTCGCTGCTCCCGCAGCCCTCCTCGGAATTCAACGCAAGCTGTTCGTGCTGGCCGGCGCGCGAAGCGCGGCCCACGAGGTCAGATGTCTCTGCGCGCCGTCGCCAGCGTCGGCGCGAACCTTGAAACTGTGGGGTCCTGGGGCGCCGCCACGTCGCAGGAAAGATTGCGCTTGACTTCGAGGGGGCACCGAGGCTCGGGGACGGACAGACCCCTCTTTAGCAAAACGTGGTTTAGTGAAAACGACCTGAGGCCCAAACCTGGCGGGCGCAAGCCTGGAAAATAACGGCCACGGCGCCCTCACGAAAACCGAAAACGGACAATTCACTAATCGACGTGTCACTGCTGGGGGTTCTGACCACCCCCGAAAAGCCACGGTGCAGCTGCCATGCCCGCGTCCGGATCGCGTGCGCGGCGGCCTCGACGACGTGCGAAGGAGTCGGGGCGGTGTGCCTGAGCCCCCATGAAGAAGCCCCCACAGCGCAAGCCGTGCCGCCCTGCGCTGACATGCGAACGAGGGACACCCCTGGCTTGGACGCCCGAATTATCTGGGGGGCTCGAGGCTCGATGACCGGAGGAGGAGGGGGAGGAGGAGGAGGGGGAGGAGGAGGGGGAGGAGGAGGAGGAGGAGAGGTGCGCTGGCCAAAAGAGAGGGACGAGAAGAGGGCAGGCGGACAAGAAGCGAGAAGAGGGCAAGACGTCGTCGTCGCGGCCGCGTGCGGCGGCGCCTGCGGGGCCGTGCCAATCAGCGCGGACAGGTCTGCTCTCTGCCTGCAGACCTGCTGAAATTGGGCCCCTGCCACGGCGACGGTCGACGCAGGACGCTGGCGACAGGTATGATAACAATGGAAGCAGGCATCAATATACAACAATATAGACAACAGAGCACGATTGTCAAGAGGAAGACAATCTATAAAACTGAATTCAGGTGGCACCAGGGGCAAGGCTAAGACTACCACCGAAGTGAGGGTAGCAGAGAAGGAACGAGAAGCCAGAGAGCTGATTACCTCACGCTCCAGGGCACGGAAACACTCGTACGACCCGCGAATCTCTTGAATCCATACAACATCATGGTACTGGGTCATATTGATAAGCTGCCTGATCTTTGCGCGGTGGGTGTGCTGCGGGGCGCACAGTGCGCCGAAGAGCGAACGAGCATTCCAAGACACAACTGAGAAACGCTTGCACGGCAAGAAAAGGCTGCATCGCATCTGCAACGCAGGCCAGTCTACCGTAAACGACGAAGAAGAGCAGGAGGATGAGGGCGTAGAACTTGCCGAAGGTGCCGAACGTGCAGACGACCCACCAGGACTGGAAGACCCAGACGCGCAGGACGACGAGGATGAGGCTCTTGCTCTTCTCTCTGAAGTGGCTATTCCGCATGTAGACCAAATACTCTTCGTAGGTGGCGGTGTGGCGTGTTGCTGGTCGTCGCTGTCTGCCGCTTGCACAGGTGTGGAACGTACACCGCAAGCGCCCACGCAGAACGGGACACCCAAACCAGTCAAAACACAATCCACAGAAGAGGCGGGGAACCCCAGTGGCCTATCATGCAAGTCAGCCTTCATGCACTGCTGGCTTGGCAGAGCGGTCTCCTAGATCAGGATGCTCTCAACCGTGCTGTTGATGGTGGCATCAGTGAAGCCGATCTTCTTCAATGCCACAACGTTGGGAATGACGTCCAATTGCAACGACTCTACGCCTTTCACCTGGAAGAGGTTCTCCGTGTCATCATTCGAGATCAGCCATAGCGTGCCACGAAATCCTTGCGAGCCTAGCGTAAAAGATGGACTCCACTTGTTATAGGCCTTGGCTGTCTCCACAACCTTGGACCAGAGGACGCCGAGGATGCGGTTGACTTTGCGGATGGCTGGCGGTGCGTCCATGCGGATCTTCAATTCACAGTCAGTATTGGTGCGAGGGTCGCGCCACTTCACACCCAGGGTCCGAGCGCGCATCAAGAAATCCTTGGCCGCCTCATTCGAATCAAAGATGATGCTGTAGGCCGTCTGGAAGTT